TAATCTATAATGTCAGTAGATTTCTCTTGTCAAACCCATTTCAAAATCTTAAATCTTGAGTTCAAAGTTCTCACTTATGTCTTGACAATAGCTTTCAGGCCCATCAACACAAGAATAAACACATTCCTGCTCTTTCAAGCTACAGAATCATATTCTTCATATCTGTTAACATACTTTTTCAAAGGAAAAGAACTTTGTTTTTCTTTTAAAAGCACTCTTTTTTATTTAATTCCATTGGGATGGTAAGAACAAAAAGACTTCCAACTTAATGGTATATCTTAATTCCTCAAGAATGAGAAAGAAAAATAGAGGAACTGAAGTGGAAAGGGCCAGTATAAAAAGATCCCTCTTGGATGAAGTTAAGAAGCTTTAATAGTGCCTATGCTGGCTTTATTTCACAGTGACTACAGAGGTTTTAGAGCTACTCCCTGGTCATTCAGGAGGACTCTTGAATTCCATTTTAGATACCATTAAGAGTAATGGTTCACACATGTTACGTGTCGGTCATTGTCCATCCAATAACATTTATCACAACCATATTAATTCAATCAAAGTTGCAGTGAAGTGAAATAATTATTTCCTGAGAGCTAGTATTACTATCCATGGTGAGAGATACTATTAGTTTATTTCCAGTTGATCAATTATCTATACATACAAGCATAAACCTAATCAACAACAGCTGGATGTTATTATTATCCATACATATAACAATTTTACTCTTTAATCACTATATTCTATATGGCAAACTCTAACATTCATAGTAAATGGGCATATCCCCAGCTGTTTTATTGCAAGCTTTGACATACATGTTCTAAAAGAAGACCACTGTGAAAAGCCAATATTCAGTAACCACTATGACTACAAAAATCTTTTCTGCAGTCACCAGATGGGCTGTACCCATGCACAGATAGCTTTCTCTTCTAACATCTTTGATAAGTTCTCTTACTTGTGACTTCATAGTGTCAACCGAAAGGCTTTCTTGGTGAAGAACAAAATCTCCAAAATGGAACAAGAGATGTATGCACCCATTTGTACATTTGTTTTATATTTCAAACACACAACACACCCATGTAGTTCTGTTTTGATGTCTCATCCTTCTTCAATGAACAGTTTATAAAACATGTATTTGGATGTAACTATGAGTTTGTTCTAAGGCGTGGGGTGGGAGGTAGGGATGGGTAGACAGAAAAGGCAGAAACCAAGGATCTTTAACATCTGATTCCATTTGGTTGATATGGGCAAGATGGGACCTCGTGAATCTTTTAGCTTAAGAAAAAGTACTACATTTATATACATATACACACACCCACATGCTTCTTCCTACCACTCCTAAATGACCTTAAAGAAAACATGTACACAATAATGAAACTATTTAGAAGGCGATTTTTATAATATCTGGAGGTTTTTTCCTGCACATTGCTAAGTAGAACTTTATCCCTGAGAGCTGGAGTCTATCTTGTAAAAGGAGGACTTCTTTATCTAAGAGGAGGGGAGACATTTTCTAGCATGCTGTTTCCCCTCTTGGAATAACTATTCTTCACCTAAATAGCATTTATTCAACCCTAGAGTCTGTCCTTGGGTCTAGCAGTCTTCCTTACTCTCTCAACTGGGTTGGATGCCCCCTTTGATTCAGTTTAAATACCCAATTTTTTCATGAATATTCATCAGACTTGTAGTATTTGTTCAATTTGTTCACTGTCTTCTTCCATACTCTATTATCAGACCCAAGTGAATGAGTGCCATATCTGTCTTATTCACTTCTCTATCTCCAGTTCCTAAAACAGTGACTGGCACATACACATTCTCAATAAATATTTGATGAATAAGGATTAAGCAAACTCATATATGTAAAGTAGTTGACTTAATTCCTGGAATATGCAAGTATTTGGTATATATCAGGCACTATTTCATATACTATATATATGATGTGTGATAGTTCATATTTTCTATATTCATATGATCTATCACACAGCACTATGAAGTTCCGAAACTAACCATGTTTCGTTTCATTGGTAGACTTTTTGAAAGAATGCTCACTGCCCATAAACCACATAACAACATTCCTGCAGTTCCCAGTTCTCTTTTGTTAAACTGAGCTGGGTCTGTAGGCAGGGTTCAGTACCTGGTTACCTAAAAAACAAGCTTTAGGTTGGCTAAAACCAGAAAAAGAACCCCCTGCTACTGACTGTGAGATACTGTACCTTCCCTTCTCCTTGTCCACCTTCCCATAGTACTCTGACACTTTGCCTCTGAATATCTTATTACTACAACTCTTAGGCTAAGTTATATCCTTCTATTTTTCATTGTTTCTAGAATAGGGAATGGTCTGCAGTGTGCCTAAGTGCTGTGATAATGAGCTGTCATACAATCAAATTCCACAGTTATATTTAGATTCGTTCCCTGAGTTAAATCTGAGATATCTCCATACATCACATTGTATTTACAGACAGTTCTCAACTTAAAATTGTTTGATTTAGGATTTTTTGACTTTAAGATGGTATGAAAGCCAGAGGCTTTCAGTAGAAACAGGACTTTGAATTTTGAATTTTGATCTCTTCCTGGACTACTAGCACATGGTAGAATATTCTCTCATGACACTGGGCAGTGGCAGTGAGTCGCAGCTCACAGTCAGCCATGCTAGGATAAACAACCAATATACTCATGGTTCTGTACCCATACAGCCATTCTGCTTTTCACTTTCAATAGAGTATATATTACATGAGATATCCAACACAACACTTCATTATAAAATAGGCTTCATGTTAGATGATTTTGCCCAAGTGCAGACCAATGTTAAGTGTTCTGAGCATGTTTAATCTAGGCTCCGCTATGATGTTCAGTAGGATAGGTGTATCAGATGCATGTCTGACTTACAACATTTTCAACTTACATGGGTTTATTGGGACATAACCCTGTTATAAGTTGAGGGAGATCTGTACTTTCAAACCAAACCATAATGTAGTCTGTACCGCATCAGATGTTATGGGCTATCCTAAGGTGGTATTGCCCCAGCACCCATCTTGTTGCTGGAGGCAGTAGAGTTTCCACATTTGACTTTTTGAAACTTCCTAGTACTTTCAGAGGAAACAGCAATGAAACCAGTAAATGATATCTTATAATCTTGGATTTTTAATTGATCATTCAGTTTGGTTCCAACTTACTCCATGTGTCATCATTGTGCCTGGCTAGTTTGTACTTTATTTTGTAGGAAAGGGGGTAGGGAGAGATTCTGAACTCTGAGCAGATAGTGAGATGACCAAATATGATCTAGGAAGGTTAATCCAGCATCAGTGTGAAAAGAGAGTTTGGGGCATTTTAGACAGAAAGAAGGGATGTCTGGTAGGAGCACATGATAGTTTTCCAAGAGAGGATTTCCTAAGGAAAGAAGCAGAGGAGTAGAGAGGAGGACTGAGATCCAGGACCAGAGGAGCAGAGATGAAGTTGGAGATCCAAGACTATAGGATCCAGGACTATAGGAGTGGAGGTGAGGATGGAGATCCAGGACCAGAGGAGTAAAGGTGAGACTGGGGACCCAGGACCAGAGGAGAGGAAATGAAGATGGAGACCCAGGGCCAGGGAAGAGGAGGTGAGGATGGAAATGCAGGACCAGAGAAATGGAGGTGAGGATGGAGACCCAGGGCCAGGGAAGAGGAGGTGAGGATGGGATGAGCACACAAATTCAAGAGCCATTGCGAAAGCAGAACAAGATGGGTCTGCAACATGAGGAACGTGAGGGATGAGAAACAGATTTTGACCCTGGGGGACTGGGAATCTGATTGTATCATTACTACTATGGGGAACAAAACAAAAATATAAAGTTTAAGGAAGAAACTTGTCTTTTGAACAAACATAATTTGAGGTGCTAGAAGATTCAGGCTATTGGAAATGGGAGCTGGAGTTCAAGAGTAATGTCAGGACTGCATCACAGGTGTATTGACCATGACGTCATCCCTTTTGGTGGCCTGGTTCCTTTGTCCCTCCATAAATGGCACATGGTTTAATTGTGGCCAATCTGTTCTTTACAAGATAGAACGTGTTACAAATAAGAGCCTTTGACTTTCTCTTGGAATAGTCTGGGAGCATCACAGTTTATCAGTCACCCCCTCTGACCTTCTATAATAGATGCCTTACACAGCTCTTCTACTTAAATCTTGGAACTTTTAATCATTTTAGAAAGTAGATAATAGGTTCCTATGATTGAGGAAGGAAAGTGTAGAAGAACTGGCCAAGTTCATACAGCCAGTTATAAGTGTCCTAGCCCCTGGTCCTCTGCCTTCCCCACTAGAACAAATCGTACCTTCCAGCCCCAGAGTGTGAGGGGATACCAGGTAACTTTCCCATCCTATCTCTACAGTACAGCTCGTTACTGTGCATTCAGAATTGTTCCAGAAACCATTTCGTATTCCTTTGGTCTCTTATTTACTGTTGGTTCCTTCTAAAGTTCTAGGCTTTGAAAATGTTGCTTTTCTTTCCTGCTTTCTCGAGAGTCTAAATAGAGTCTGATGTTCACTTCCGCCAGGAACAGTGTCGGTGCTTGCTCAGCAGCCCATAGTCTCTACTCACACGTGCCGTACCTAGTCCTTCCTTCCTTCCCTAATAAATGTTTGTTTCATGGTAATGGTTTTAAGAATCTCATGAGTTGTTGGAAACTGGAAAGAGTTGTTGCGTAGAAATGTGTCTGTCAACCATCATGGGGCCCTTTAGCCCATTCATTGATCTTTGATCTTTCATGCCACCTGTCCATCACCAGCCGCTTCTGTGAAGGACGGTGAGTGGCTTTCTTAGAGTTGGTGAGGAATCAGCGCAAGCGGGAAGGAGCACTAATGCACACACAAGATCTTGTTTATAACATTAAAGGCTACAGTGCATCATTCAAAATTATAAAGTTTCATCCAGCTAACAGAATGCATTTCAACTAAGTGGTCTATGAATCGACTTCACCTTCATATTATAGAAATTAATGCATTTTATTTTCGGTGTGTTCCTTTCCTACCATATAGATGCCTTGAATCTTCGAAACCGACAGGTCATATGCGTCACCCTCAAGGTCCTCCAACATCTGGCTTTGTCATATGAGACGGTGGGTGAAGCTTTGGTGCCCTATTACCGTCAAATCCTCCCCATCCTGAACATCTTTAAGAATATGAATGGTGAGTGATCCCAGGAGTCAAATGTCTTCTAAGCCCTAAAAAAAAGGGAGTGGCTTGAAGTAGAGTTAATTAGCAACACATTTAGGATTTATTATTGCTTATAAACCAAGATCCATTTGGAGATCTAAATAGTGTGACTCCCACTATTCCCCTACCACTCCCTAGGGAAACAGTAAAATTAACAATTTCATTTATTACTCCTCACACGTACAGCTTACTTACTCATTACAGAAGCGCTGAAGCAGTTCTATAATCTTCCAATAATTAAATTGTAAAGTTTTTTTAATAGTCTTTTGAATATATTAGTAGGTTTTGAGTTCGTCCTTTCTCTTGGTAGGAATTCTACCTTTAGATACTCTCTGTTAAAATTGCAGTTTTTATTAGTTGGTTTAAAATGAATTTTTAAAGCAAAATTGTTAAAATATGGTACATGTGGAGAGCCTGGGTAGCTCAGTCAGTCAAGCATCCGGCTTTGGCTTAGGTCATGACCTCATGGTTAGTGGGTTCGAGTCTTGCGTCGGGCTCTGTGCTGACAACTAGCTCAGAGCCTGGAGCCTGCAATAGATTCTGTGTCTCCCTCTCTCTCTGACCCTCCCCTGACCACGCTGTCTCTCTCTCTCTCTCAGAAATAAATAAAACATAAAAATAAAATACAATACGGTACATGTGGCTTGGGAAGGGTTTTTTTTAATGTTTTTTATTTATTTATAAGAGAGAGACAGCATGAGCAGGGGAGGGTCAGAGAGAGGGGGAGATACAAAATCTCAAACAGGCTCCAGGCTCTGAGCTCTCCATCAACACAGAGCCCGACAAGGGGCTCAAACTCACAAACTGTGAGATCATGACCTGAGCTGAAGTCGGACGCTTAACCGACTTAGCCACCTAGGCGCCCCTGGGAAGTTTTAATAGATGTTCTCTTGTTTCTAAAAAAAAAAAAGATAACCTAGTTGATGGTGAGTGCTGATTATAAATGTATATGTCCTGATGCATTTATTTGTTTTAATTATTCTATAAGCTGTGGAAAGCACTGCTGAGCTCAGATGAATCTGATCTACCCTAACAAAGGCACTAGCAAGTTGCAGTGATCTGTTTGACAGTCAGTGGATATATATTTGTTCATTGGGAGACTGATTTCCCTTTTATGCCTCTTTGAAAAGATGTGACTCTAATTTTCTTTTATGTTGCTAACTTTGAATTTCCATACTTCTTATATGCACAATGTAAGTCAACACTTGAAGTTAATTCCTGACAGCCATGTAAATAAGTTAGCAATTTGGCGGAACAGTGCATGGAAATTTTGTGACATGATCTGTTCATGTACGTACAAGAAAAAAAATCAAACAAAAAAAATGAGCATTCCTGCCACATACAACTCCTTTGTTTGGAACCAACATTTTTTACAGTAATCATAAACTGCTATTAAAAGTCTCATTAATTAGGCAGATTCTTCAGGAAATCATGGAATCCTCCCAAAGTTTTTAGCTGTTTTTCAGTAGTAGGATCTACTTATATAGTCGATATTAGACATATTTAGTTACAAGGACTTCACCTGGAGTTATGGGAGCATAAGATGCTCATAATGGAGTGAGTGAGTTAATATCCATTCTGCAACATCTGAATGGCAGTAGACTTAGTGTGGACAGTTAGACAAGTTGGCTACTCTTTCAGGAAACTAAAAATTGCGTGTTAGTAACTGAATCCCTTGCGACCTAACAAACTGACAGTTTTAGTAACAGCATTTCTACTTCATGGAAAACGCTTGTTTAAATATTTTTGATTCAGAATTCATGGTTATACTGTAGAGCTGCACTGAATATCCATGGAGTTACAGAATGATTCCACGTGTACACATTGTTCAATTATGGTTCATTAAAGAGGTGCTGAGGTGCTAATTTAGTCTCTAGTTAACTTGTGAGAGACATGGAGATGGCAGAGATAAAGATGAAAGAGAGATGACAGAGAGACAGAATTACTTAAAAACTGGAAGATCAAGGAACAGCCACCCCCAAAGTCTCTGTTGTAGTTCACATTTTTGAAGTGTGTGATTAGCAAGTGTTTCCTCAGTAATCTTCGCCGAACCTGTGGTAAATGTACCATTACTATGTCCGTGCTTTCATCGTTAAAGTTGCCCCTCTGTAATTGCTTTCATATATAAAACCTCTGCTTCTGGGCCTGACTGTCACGGACGATGGTCACCCACCCATCCGCCCTTCTCACTTGAGCAGGAGCAGGGGCACTTACTGCTTTTGGTGTCCCGCGGCAGCATCTCGAACTCAAATCTAAGCATCATTATGTATCACATAAAAGAGGAAGAAGGGGGTGCCTGGGTGGCTCAGTGGGTTAAACATCCAATTCTTGGTTCATGGTCTCACAGTTCATGAGTTCAAGCCCCGCATCCGGCTCTGTTCTCTGTTCTGACAGAGCTTGGGATTCTCCCCCTCTCTGCCCCTCCCCTGCTCGCTTGCTTGCTTGCTCTCTCTCTCTCAGAATAAATAAATAACAAAACTGTAATAAAGCAAGATGAAAAAAGACAATTAAAATCTCCCTTATCCTCCAGGAAACCTGTAAAGAAGAATAAGTTAAGCCACCACAAAGAGATAAATCTCTAGATTATTAAACAAAAGCAATGGTTTTCTACATCCTTCTCGTACTTTTTATTTAATTCTTTAACTCACAGATGTTCACATGCTTAACAAAAGAAGTAATTAGCTTTAGGACTATATCCCTATTTAGATTGTATCAATGTGGGAATTTATAGTTTATACCGTAGCCTTAATTGGTCCCAAACAAGGTTAATTATTTTGGAACATTTCTCAGTGCATGCACCAGGAATTCCACATTCAACTGTTTTTCTGCTTAATATCTCTCTGACATTTGAGAGGAAAAAATATTAGCCTCAGCTTCATTTTCTACTTATCTTAGAAACCTGTCAGTACAATGCCAGAATGCAGTAAACTGTATTTCCAGAGGGTCATATTACAAAATGGGAGCATTCTAGCTATAAAACGTAAAACTATTGTTCAAAATGGCTGTATTCATGAAGATCAGGTTCTACCAAAAGGAGCATTTCACAAGATTTCCAGTTACAGTAGTATTTTTAGTATGGAAATAATTTAACTTTAATAGTTGAGTAAATCCCATTTTCTAATTATAGATATTCATATTCACAGAACTTTATATATACTTATTTAAGCAGATGTCTTTAGTAACAGTTATATTTATAAATAAAATTATAGTAGAAATTTATAGCATGTAACATCAGAAAAAAAATTCATCCTTAATTTCAGAGTATTTAAAACAATTTCACACATTTCTATGTTTCTTCTTTTTCCTACATTCACATAAATCAGTGTCTTGTTAAATTCAGATTGAATCAAACAGTCCCACCCCCAAATATTTTTTTTAGAATGAGGCCAGATACAAATGACAGAGAGAAAGAATGAATGAGGCAAAGAATAGTCCTTCAAATATAACGACCTCATTCTCTGTCAGTGTTCCCTCAAAGTGCAAGCTTTAGCTTACTTCTACTGACTAGTCCTTTTTTTTTTTTCTTGCAATTTCTGGGCTATTTTAATGTCAGATGGACTTGGTTGGAGATGAGCAGTGGGCTGAGTAGATGAGGGCTAGACAAACACCGAAGCAAGTGCGGGTGGTGAGGCACCCCAGGCCTGGAATCCCCACAGAGGACCGCAGGGCACCTGCTGCCAGGGCGCAGCCCCGATAGACATTTGCATAGGTAGTAAAACTCATAGCAAGACCCAGAAGTTTATTCCTGCCCTAAGAAAAAGGGTGGCTTTGTGTTTCTATGAATATTATTTTTTTGCAAGGTTTAATGAGTCTGAATTTTAACAGTTATAAAAACAACAGAAGTCTAAGATGCAAATTGTAATGCGGAATAGAGTAGCATCTTAGAGTCAGAAGACACAAATCATGTGACTTCTCTAAGCTTAAATTTCTTTTAAATTCTCCTAACTCATCTACGTAAAAGGTAATGGCACCTTTTTTTGTAGGATTGACGTGACAATTCAAGATAACGTGTCCATAGGCGCTTCATGTACAGCCTGGCCTTGACTGGGTATTAAATAAGATAGCCATACTCTCATACAACATTATAGAGATGTACAATATTATATATATCATTGTATGATGTTCTATACAAATATTGCAATACTGTACACATTATTACATCACGCCATGAATAGACAGTTGAATGTTTTACAACGTTGGTTGTGTAACTCACACCCTTGGCCCTTCCATGAGCCCATCTGTGAACACATACGCACTCCTGGTTCCCAGCCGGGGCAGTCCCTTTGCTTCAAAGGATTCATCTCTCCTCTGCCCAATGCCAGGTGGGTGACCAAGTAAGTTAAGGACTCTGGGATTCATTCAAGAATAACAGGTTTCCAAATCCATCTCTTCCTGACATGATCTTTAAGCTCGAATATGTGACTGATGTATTTGGAGAAAGTCCCATTTTAAAAGAAGAAGCCCGAGTGCAACAAATAGGGGGCCCCTGCATCACTATCCTCTTTGGAAGATCCAAAGTAGTATCTAAGTTTGAGCTTCTTTTCCTTAATTGTAAACAGTGGATTTTGGATATTTAAACCATGCTGTTTGTCCAGTCACTGCTTTGGGTGAAAGAGAAGGAAGAATTTCTATAATAGCAATTTCTTCTTTCCTGTGTTCTTTCACAAATGTTATTAAAGGTTACAGAAAATTAAGACAATAGGAATGTTTGATTTATAGCTTCCAGAGATGAAACTACAAAATTAATGGTGCAGTGTATTGCATTTGAGGAGCATGAAACAATAGATGGCATTAAAACGTTTATAGCTAAACTACGGGGCTCTGCCAGCAGATTAGAGCTATCCAATCAGTCTGCTTTCTGGAGGCGATCCTAATTTTGGTTCCTTTGTTTCCAACTGTGCCAGTGGTCCTGAAACAGTTGAGAAACTCCAGGCATCAGCGATTCAAATAGCACCCTGAGTATATGTCATGGA